GCGGTCACGCTCTGCTAAGGGGCTGCTGACTCTGCTTCTTTCAGATCGAAGAGGAGCTGGCCGCCCTCCAGAAGGAACGCAGCGAGCGGATAAAGTTTCTGTTGGAAAGGCAGGAGCGAGAGATTGAAACGTTTGACATGGAGAGCTTGCGAATGGGCTTTGGGAATTTGGTCACGTTAGAGTATCCCAAGGAGGACTATAGATGAGATTAAATTTCTTTGCCATTTAAAAACAAAAGACAAAAAGCAAACAAAATAATGATAAAACTTGCAAAACCAACATTCCCCATGTTAACGGGCGTGCTCTCTCTCTTTCTGTCTCTCTTACTGACATCGTGTCGGACTAGTGCCTGTATATTCTTACTCCATCAGGGGCCCCCTTTCCCCCTGCGTCACGTCCCGGTGCAGGACAGCTCCTGGCGGTCTTTTCCATAGTATGTCACAGTATTGATGTCTCTGTGCAATGATTAAAAATGTTTCAGTGAAAACTTTTGGAGACAATTTTAATGGAGAAAAAAAAAAAAAAAAAAAAAAAGAAAAAAAGTGGATGTATGTTGCTTTTGAGCAATCACTCATTTTACCACCAATCAATGAAAAGTACAAGCAAAAAAAAATAATAATCAAGAGATCTACAAACCCAGGGGGAGAGAGACTAAATCCGCAGCCTTACCTTAACTAGCTGCTGCATAATTTTATTTTATTTTTATTTTTTTGGTATTTATTCATCAGGAATAATTAAATAATAAAAAATTTTATTAAAGATTGAAGAATTTGATACATTTTACAGAAAAAAAAAAACTTAATCGTGATGTACATATCAGTGGTGACATATTATTACTTTTTTGGGGGTGGGGAGGGTCGGGGCGAAGATCTGGTGATTTTTAGAAGAACCATGCCAGGCGAGGCGGAGATGAGACCGCGGTCCTCGGCATATTCTTGATTGTATCATAATCATTTTCTGCTGTCGCAGAGAATGTGAATACACTTAAACGAGCCCACAGGATCCCAGTAGCACAAATTGGGCTTTGTCAAATCATGTATTTTGTGTATAGAAGGAATTTAAGGAGAGCTTTTACTTATTTTCATATTGTATTTTAACTGTTTCTCTGATCAAAAATTTTTTTACTTCTTTCCCCCCCCCTGCTCCCCGCCATTTTTTTTTTTTTGTTCCTCCCCCAAGTCCACCCCAACCCCATTATCTTGGTCATAAATATTGCATTATTCACACTTTCAAACTGTGTATTTTCTTACAATAAAAAGATTAAAAAAAAAGGCTTTACTTCTTTTGCATGCACTTTAAAAAAAACAGAAAAACCCAAAAAAAACCCCAAAAACCCAACAAAACAACAGAAACATTTTTCAGGTTCCAAGGAAGAGCATGAATAACTGTCAGAGCTTTTAATTATATTTGTAAATAAAAGTGTTCATCACAATGCCTGGCTGTCT